ATGGTGTCCTTCCACTTCGGACTGAGGGCTGAATGCGCACATGACTCAATCCTGCCAGGTCGACAGGTACACTGCTGCAAGGCGAGAGAACAACGTGTCTCTGTTCGCATAATCTTGTTGCTATTTCCGTCATGGTCTGCAGCGGCGCAGTGTAGGTGCGCCCAGGGGAAATGGGCTGCGCCAGGTTGGGCGGACCTGCTTATCCCTTCGGCCGGTACTTACTGGCTGGCGCCGTAGCTGAACAACATGCTGCGGCTGGTGAAGGTGCGACGCAGGGGGGGGGGGAGGGCTGCAACCGGCGTCCGCGTGAGCAGCAGAGGCAGCAAGCAAGAGGCGAGTCGGAGTGTGGTACGGGGTCCAATATATAGAAGCCCTGGGGTTGACAAGATTCGGAAGACCCGGCGCTACGGTCTGCAGCTTCGCCGGCCAGTTGCTTGGAGCTCTCGGCCTGACAGCTGATGAGACATGCCGCGGCGTTTTGCTGTCGTGCCCCGGGGGCGCTGGAGGCGCTTGCATGCCCGATTCCATCGTGCATCTACCGCCGTCGGTTGGAAGACGCAAGATGAAGGAGCTGCCGTCATGTCAATGCACGGGAGATTTTTTCGGTGCCCGCTAGGCAGAGTGGCGGCGGGTTGGGCGTGTGGTGTTGCGGCCCGTGGAAGTGATTTGGATTATCGCGACGAATATTGGCTCCATGTAGCGGTCAGGTCTGAGCCAAGCTGGGTGTTTTCTTTCCCGGGATTGACGGCGCGGATCCAGCTCGTCAGGGGGACGTGTCGATGAGCTAGAGGCGAGCAGAGGCTGCAATCTACGGATGCTCGATCCCAAACGCACTCCCGGACTCCCCGCGGCGGCGGCGCAGTGCGCTGGCCAGCTTCCGAAATGAGGGAACGGCACCGCAGCAGCCGGGGCTCAGGGGACCCGAGGGGACGGAACGGCGTGTGTAGGCGCACGTGGGCTCGAGAGCTCGAGTCCGGTGCGGGCGGCGTGGGGGAGCTAGAGACGCAGGGTGATAGGGAGTGACGTCGGCGCAGAAGGCAGGTCGGCGGGCGGATAAGCAGCGAGCAGAAGTTAGCAACGGCAGCAGGTCATACAGCACCGCAGTGCGAGGCGCGGTGATACACGACGCGCCGGGCTGCCGTTTATCGAGCCTTGCATCGATGGCTTGAAGTTCCTTTTGCCTTCCCCACGGCGGGCGGCGTCCGTGCGTGGCTTACCTAGTCACCTAGTCTTCACGGCGTCGATGATGGCCGCCTGCAGCTTCACTGCGAGATTGCCGTTGCCGACCCAACGGCTGCCCGTCCCGGAGCCCAACCAAGCGGCGTCAATGGCCGCAATTCACGGAAATTGATGCTGCCCATTCGTCAATGCGCCGTGGCAGCGCTCCAATTTCCGCAATTGACCGGTGCGCTGGTGCTGGGTGCGGCGCGCTGGGTGCGGAGCGCTGGGCGCCGTTGCTGCGCGCCGGCTACGACGACTGCGGAAAAAGGAGCAACGGACGCTGGGGCAGATGACCACGACAGGCACGGCACGCCTGCTTTCGCGCCTCATGCGTGGATGCGTGGGGCGGCTCGGCCGGCGGGAGGCGTCGCCCCGGCCACCACCGTTGGTGCGTCCGCTTGCTTTTGGTGTTGCGGCGCCCGGAGCTTTTGCCCACGACGCTGCCAACGGCAGACGCCGCATTGACTGAGTCCTGTTCCCAGTCCTGGTCCCAGTCCTGTTCCCTTGCCGTGGTACCTCCTCCCGCGCTGCCGTCGCCGCCCAAACGAGTCGAGACCGCTTCGCTTGGCCCGCCGACTGAAACGTGGAAACCAACAAGCCATCTCCCACGCGCGCCGCAACACCGTGCCATCCCACGAGGCCCAACACCACCGCGGCCACGCTGATAAGACTGCCCGCCCCGGCACTTGCAAACCCTCCGCCCGCGTCAGCCAGCCCCATCCACGAGACCTGCGAAAGCCGGCAAGCCCGTCTTGGCCCGATCCGACTCAGGCCTAGCCGCAAGCCCGTCCCAGGTTGCCGGGCCCGATGGCGCTCTCCGGGGGACCGGTTTTGGTGTTCTGCTGCCTACCCCCACCTCCGCCGGAGATACAAGCAGACAGTCCCAGTTGCGCTGTCCTGAGACCTCTGAATCCGCCTGCGAAATGACAGCGTCGTATCCTGAAGGAATGTACCCGCCCCCTGCTGTCCGTGTCTCGGCCTGTCTCGGGGCGGCATCAGATCAGATCAGACGCTGTCAACACCATCGGGATGTCTCTGCTCAATCGCGTCGCCACGATCGGCGCGCTGCTGGCAGTTGGCACTCGGCCGCGCACGCGGGAGGGTGTGAGCATCAGTCGTGCGCGACGCTCACAGGCTGCCGCTTAGCGAAGCTTGATGCCGTTGCCGCCGCCCGCCCGTGCGTGTGCCAGCCCGCCAGCTGATGGGTGTTGCGATACCTGGAGCGTGGAAGGCATTGCTGTCTCAGTGGTTGTGCCATCACATGGAGACCTCACAGGTCTGCCGCTCACCGCCTTCATGCGCGACGGGAATCATCCTGTTTCACGGCAGCTGGCAGCGCCGCGCCGTCATCGCACACGACGAGAGCCTTCTCCAGAGTCCGCCCTCCCCTTGCTGCCCTGCCGGGAGCCCTCGCGTCAGCCAGAGATTGTGTACGACGTGCAGACGATACATGGCCACCATGGCCAGAAGAGCTGCGCTGCTGCATCGGCGACGCGGGACGGATTGGCCGCCCTCTGCCTGAGTGGCCCAAGTGTCCGGGGAAGTCGTTTTGCGTCTATGCGGCGGGGCTTGCAATCCGGGGACTGCACAGCACGCAGCCGCCTGAGCATCGTGTCACTTGCTGGCGGCTGCGCACGCCCGCTCGCCTCTGGCTGGTCGAGCTGGCGGCAGCAGCACCAGCACCAGCACCAGCACCAGCACCAGCAGGCAGTGGATGCTGCGCAATGGACGAGGCACGCGGCGGGCGATCACGGGGAGGCGCATGGGTGATAAAGCTCCGACGAGATTGCCGTCCGGCCTGGAGAGGTCCTGATCTGCGCCCTCACTGGCCTCGAGGGTACCGGCCGAGACTTTGGGGCTGGTGGCGAACTCGCCTGCGAGGCGTGTACCCCCTTGTAGACTGCGGAGACGGGCGCCGGGGGGTGCAGCTCAGGGTCTGGTCACGCATACACTTGCAACGGTCGTCGCCTGGCCCAGAGTGCCATCGTGGCCGGAGCTGGCTGCCGTGCCACCGAGCCCCGGCTTTGGTCAGCTGCGCTCTCCTGGACCTGGAGATCATGCTGCCGCCAAAGCAACGCGCTGGCCGATCGCCGTGCTGAAAGCAGCCTGTCGCACATGATGGGCTCGCCGCGCGCTGACACTCGTCAAATGACTGCCGCTCGACTGCCACTTCATCAAGCCCGGCGGCACAGCGCGCGCGCGCTTGATCTTCGACAGCCTCGTCGAGAGCGTCAGATTGAGCACCCGGCGGTTGCAGCCAGGGCCGCTCGCATCATGGCCAGGGCCGCTCGTCAAAACACCCCACGCCCGTGATCCGTACACGCCCGTACACGCCCGTACACAGTAGGCGAGCAGCCTCAGATTGGGACTGCCGAGAAGGGCAGGTCAGCTGCAAGCGTAAAATTCCTCCCGCACATGTGATGCTCCAGCCACAGCAGCGACGGCAGCAGCAGCGACGGCAGCAGCGACGGCAGCGGCGTGGCGAGCGGTGGTACCTGGCTCCTGGCCGCAACCCGCAATCCCGCCGCCGCTGTCCCGCGTGCTCACCGGCGGATTGCCAGGCGAGGGCTGAGAGAGCTGCGCGGAGAGGGCGCGGACAGAAGTCCACCAGCGCGTTACGTACTGGTACGAGCGTTCGAGACGTGCGTGAATCATCCGCTCCGGAGAGCGTCCGGCGACGTTTGAGGCGAAGCCGTCGCGACGATGCTGATTGCGGCCAAGCGCTGGCCGTCTTTGGGCGTGCCGTACCCGTTGCCGGTATTTATCCTGTAACGAACAGCCGGCCAGACCACAGGCGGTGGGCGCGTGCGAGCGCGCCGCGGTCGCCAGGCCAGCGCTGGCTGGCAGGCGTGCTAGCGTCGGCTGCTGCGGGCGCGTGGAGGGAGCCTGTGGGTGAGAGCAACTCCGGCGGTGTCGGGCACTGACTCGACCCGGCTTTGTTCTGCTGCCTTTCTGGAAGAGAGCTTCTTCAGGCCGCCGGAGCCCTCAGCCGCGCGGCGCTCGATTGGGCTGGGCTGCCAGGGGACGTCGGCGCTACTCTGGGGAAGAGCGGAAGCGTCGCTGGCGCTGCAGCCGGCTCCACCGCGACTCGTACGCGCTGGCGGTGGCCTTGCACGTTTTGGGACACACGCCGCAGGCTGAGGCAGATCCAGCGTGCGCTCTTGTGACTTGCATTCCGAAGCTTGCCCCCGGCACGCGCCTTCGCTGCCCGCGCTTCTCCGTGCCCACACTCCCCCCCAGGCGCGCCCCGGCATGTGCGCCCACCCCCCCCCATGCTCTGCCGCTCCATGCCTCTGCCCATGCGCAAACGCCTCAAGTCCCACGGTGCCGGTTGGTGCTGGTGGTCGCAGGCACCGTGAGCTTGTGCGGTCGACTTGTCAGACAAAAGCACTGTCTCTCGCTCTCCCGGATTCTTATGATCCAGAGCCCCCAGCTTCCCATTCCGCAGGCCCACGCCCGCGCGCCCACACACGCACACCACCACCCGCCCAACTGCAAGGCCGCCACTCACACTCTCCCTCACGACCTCCCGCACAACGCACACCTGCTGTCTCACCCCGCCCAAGCTGCCACGCTGTCCGGGCATGCCACTTTACTTATGAACCCGCGCCGAACGCCTGCACTCAATCGCCAGCACTGCGGTATTTGGGCCTGCCGATCTTGACGCAATCGTCCGCTCCGGAAACAGCCATCTCGCCCTTCGCACACCTCTGCTCCCACCACCTCATATAACCGCCACCACGACCGCGACCATCGCACCGGCCGCGCCGTCGCCCACCATGCCGTTCAAACCCCAGATCCCCATACTCCAAGTCGAGTCGACCGCCATCCACACCGTCGACACCCGCTCCGCCGAGCAATTGTTTGGCCTCTGGTCGGGTAAGCCGTCGCGCTTCCCGTCGCGCGTTTGCCTCGCTAATTTCCCTGCAGTCTTTTCCAAGTGCGCCGAGACCATGGAGGAGGGCCGCCGCCTTGAGAACCTCAGCTGGAGGCTATGGAACCGCGAGACCTTCTGCTGCGCTCCCGACCACAGCAACCCCAACGCCTCTCTCTTCACCACCCCGCGCTGGTCCTACACCCGCAAGACGTCCGACTCGGGCTCGCTTTCCATTCCCGCTCTATCATCCAGCGTCGAGTCGGACGACTCGGACGACCGCGTCGACAGCGCCTCCACCCTGCAGTCCGCCGTCTCGTCGAGGCCTCACATTAGGAGACACGACTCAACAGAAAGCCGGAACAGAGGAACAGAAAAGCACCTCACCCCCGTTGACCTCGAGAGCTTAGTCATGTGCATCAAAGAGAAGAAGGACCTAGAGCCTCTCTCCCCCTTGCCGATGCCCGCACCCGAGCAGAAGAGCCAGGAGAGCGCGACGGAACAACGCGTTGAGGAATCCACTCCGCCACCTGTCAACCCTAAGCCCCAAATGGTTCCCGAGTCTTCCACTTCCACCGTCGCCACCACTCTCGACAGCGATCTCTCAAAGATGAGCCCTCCTGTCATTGGCTCGGATAGCAGCACATCCACCGACTGCAGCTCTCACAGCGTCGTCCGTGGCTTCTCGCCCGGCCGCATCTCTTCTTCGTACCGCTCGAGGACGAACCTCCAGCAACCCACAATGCCCACCCCTATCATCAGGCAACCGCAGCACACATCACCTGCCCCGATGCAGAAGAGGAAGGGTGCCATGTTCACCCTCGGTGGCTCTTCCGACGAGGATGGCAACAGCTCTTTGGAGACTCACATGCAGATGAGCCAAATGAGCAATGCGCGCAGCTCGCTCTCGGACGGCCTCAGGAAGCCCCAAGGTGTATCCCGCAAGCAGACGTCTTTCAAAGATGAGATCTCGGCCAGGATGCCTGAGCGTAAGGCATACGAGAGCGAGGAAGTCTTCGAGAGCGACAGCGAGGATGAGGTTTCCGACAATGCCATCGAGGAAGATGACGAGAGCCAATGGGAGGATTCGGACGACGAGAGCGGCCCATCCAGCGTGAACGACAAGGTTTCGTTCCAGAGGGTCGACTCCAAGCCCAACCTCACCTCCCGCCGCTCCCTTCTTACCACCCTGATGCACGAGGGCGACCGAGCCCAGGCGCTCCAAAACGCTGCCTCCCGCTCCACACCCGCCCTTCGCCGCTCGCGGACCACTTCGCCCAATGGACCTTCCATTGCGGCATCACCCAACACCAATACGTTGCGATACCAACCTGCCCAGCCTGCTCCTGCCCAGCCCGCCAAGCCCGCCGCGCCCGTCCAGCCTGAACCGGAAGTCCAACAAATCCCCAGGTCAAAGCCCATCATCATGACCACCTCTAACACACATGCTCCTCCCGCGCTGTCCCCCCGGACCACCAGGCGGAACATGCTCACCACTGAGTTGACAGAGTCTCTCCGCAAGCACCTGCTGTGGGAGCGTCAACAGAAGAACTCGACCAACAACGCAGTTCTCAAGAGGAGACATACCTCGACGGATGTCAAGAACCTCAAGAACTACCCTGGCGAGGCTCAGCCATCGGCCCTCCCGACAGTAAAGGAGAACGCCAAGGGCAACAACTCCTGGACCACCAACTACTTTGACTCGGGTCTCCAGGAGTACCACGAGAGAGGGTGGTAAAAAAAAAAACCAGTTTGCATTCTTCCTCACGGACGGGCGTCAGCCTCCAGGCCTGGACAAAACCGGGCCATCATTGATTGCATTTCTTTTTATTGCGAACATAGCGTGACGGTGTTTGGCGATCTTGCTTCTAGTCATTTTAATCTTTTTTTTCATGGTGTTCATGGACTCATGAGCTTCATGGCAGGAACGGCACGGGTCACATCTGACTGCTTCTGAATTTCTTTTCGGGATACCATTTTGCACTTGTTCACAGCAGCACAACGATGCTACGAATCTTCTTCTTCTACTGCGGACTATTTTGGGGCGGCCCAGGACATCATTATCGGAAGACATCGACACTACTGGCTCGCGCCTTGGTTGCATTGGAGGGGGTTGGGGGAATTCACATGCGAACGGAGCATACCGCCTCCGTCCATGGCCCTGTAACACTATACGGACTCTGTACTTGTAGGGGAAGCGTTAGGGTGGAGCCGAGTCGCATTTTGGCAGCCACCGACTCCACTGGGCCTGGGAGGGCTCAGGGAGCACAATTACCTCACGGCTTGTAGATGGTAATCAGCTTAGGTAGCGTAATCACTGAAAAAAGTGGATTTCGAAACGAGCCAATGGCGCGATGCACCGGGATGTGAGGGGAGGTCGAGTTGTGCGGTGGACTCTGGGTGGATTCACCGGTAACAGGGCCCTGGGCGACAATCCGCAATTCGCATGAGCGGAGTGCTATGATGGATGCTTCTGGCCAGGCGTGTTCCTGATGGATTCGAGAGGGGGGCACTGCACACAACTGGGGAGGGGGGGGCGTGGCAGGCGGCCCCTCACAGCGTGTACCTTCGCGGCATGGCCTAGCGACCCGGGGCCGTCCGATTCTGCCAGACGTCCCCACCGCCCCCCCCAACTCGCGAAAAAAGCCTGCGGCCATGCATGGAAGAAACGGTGACGGGCACATGCAAAGAAAAGCCTCAGCGTGGCTCCGGCACGGGCTCTGATCCATGGAGCACCCAGGAGAGCGTTGCATAAGCGCGTGCACACCCTCATCTGAGGTGCGGGCAGCAGAGCAAGAGGCGGTAAGAGCGATAAGAGCAGCAGCGGCGGCGGCGAAGCGCAGCGCAGCGGCACGGCACGGCATCATTGGCATGGCATGGCATGGGCATGGGCATGGGCATGGGCATGTGCTGCTGCTGCTAAACTGCTGGCTGCGCGCGCGCGCGTGCGTGGGCGTGGGCGGTGGCATCATCATGGGCACGCTTTTGCCGGCGTCACGGACGGTGGTGGCTCGGGCGCCCGCCGCCGCCGCCGCCGCCGTCTCGCATGCCGACAGGCTGTGTGTGAACTGGCCGTCTACAAGTCTACTACTACCTACAAGCTGCGCCTCGGCCGTCGCCGGCGCGTGGCATGGGGCGGCATGGCGACGGGCCCAAGGAGCATGTGGAAATGACCAAACGAGAAGGAAGAAGGGAAGGGAAAAAAAAAACGAAAATTCGTTCGTTCGCGCGCGCGCGCGCGGGTCGCCACGGGCTCGCCGCCTCGCCAGGCAGGTGCGAGTGTGCTGGGCGTGTGTTGCGTGCCCGTGCAGCTGCCCCTTTGCGGCGGAGGCGGGCGGCGGCGAGGAGGAGGATGGGTGGTGGTGTCCTCGGGCCGACACAGGCTGGCGGAGACAGGAGGAGGCTGCGGCAAGCTTCCGGCTTGAGCATTGGCAGCCAGCCAGCCAGATCAGATGGGCGGGCGCATTGGCAGCGAAGGCAGGATGGCCGCTGGGGGGGGCACGGCGGCGGCGGCGGCGGCGATGCGCAGGTGGAACACAGGCCGGGCGATCGCGCAGGCGGCGCACACGATGCTGCCATGCTCCCATTAGATGCAGCCTTATGAGTCACGGCGCGACGCGCTCGTGGTGAACATGACTGAGTATGACGGCAAATGAGTGAGCGGGATGCTGCGTTGGCAGCACGGTAGACTCTTGCTCAACACCACAAACAGCCCCCAACTGCCCCCATATGAGGCCTGCTGACCTCGCCCGCGACGCAGCTTGTGCAAACCCCCCAGATCGCCGCTCCGCACCGCGATTGTCTCCCTAATCACAGTCTATTTGCAGCGTCTGCCTATCACCATGGACGCGGAAGGGCGATCAAGCATCCGCAGCGGCACGAGCAGCGCGGCCGGTACGTTCGTTTTGCCAACGCATCACTCTAGCCGCTGCACGTCCCGGTCATCTGCTCACTCGTCTGCACGCGTTCTCAGGGTCGGCCGCTGCCAGCGCATCAGAGGCAGCGCGTCCTCAGCCTCAACCCCAAGGCTCTTCGCCCGCTGCGCCACCGCGCGGGAGGCAATGCCGCTTCTACGGCACCCCGTCCGGTAAGTCAACCCTACGCGACCCTGTCAATCGCCCCGTGCCTATCAATCAGCTCAACACCGTGTGGGGTGCTGTTGATCACCAGACGCTGGATCCCTGATGGACGCTGATATGAGCCACTGTGCGTTATTCCAGGCTGCCGCGCCGGCCAACAGTGTCCATTCGCCCATGACGCCTCTGCCTCCACCGGTCAGCCTGCAACGACCCGCCCTGCGCGTCAACGTCGGCAGGCGGCCATCGTTGCGGATCCCGAACGCAGCGAAGCTTCTGCTGCAGTGCCAACATCCACCACACCGACTCCGCAGCAGCAGCAGCGCAGCGCGCGCGTGGTGCAGCGTCCAACTCCACGCGCCCAGCAGGACGATCCGCGCGAGTTTCAGTTGGCGCAGATCCGCCGCAGATTTAGCCCGGAAGAATCACTGGACGCGAGCTCCGGCGCGACCATTCTGGCATTCGGGATGAAACCCTCAGACCCCGACTTCCCTTTCGACATTGACGAGCTGGCGTGTCGCCTTCGCGTGCCTGCCACCTACCCGATCCAGGGCCGTCCGTCGCTGAGCGTCACCAACGCCGCCATGGACAGGGGCTTTCAGATCAACGTCGAGAAGGGCTTCGATGCCCTCGCACAGCGCCAGCTCCCGAATCAGACTCTATTGACATTGATGAACGCGCTGGACCGCCAGCTGGAGCAATTGCTGACCGCGCCGCCTGCCGAGACCTTCTCTATCAAAATAGTTCCGAATGCGGCGGCCAGGGCCGTGCCGAAGCATGGGGAGCATGCCGTCCAGCGGCAGGCCCCCACCCCGCCGGCGCCGGTCGTCGTCGTGCAACCCCAAGTAGCGCCGGCGCAGCCGAGAGAAAGTCCACCGCCGCCAGCTCAACCTGCATACAGCCCTGAGCAGAGGGCGCAGGCCCAAGCGCGGCGTGGCCAGGAAACGCGCCAGCTTGAGGCTCGTCTCGGTCGGCTGCCCCAGTTCTCCACTCTGGCGGATGGCGCGTTTATCATGCCTGTCGAGCCCAGGCGCAGGGCTGCATTGCCCATTGCGCTGCAGGCCGTCAAGACGGTGAAGCTGCTGGTGCCTGAGCTCTACCCGCTGCAGCCGTGCAGGATCGAGCTCATGGGCATTGACAGACGGGCTGCGATGCCCGTCGAGCAGGCCTTCGAGAACAGGGCTGGGCAGTTTGCGAATATGTCATTGCTCAACCACGTTAACTACTTCTCCCAGAACATGCATTCGATGGCCCAAGCGCCCCCTGCGAAGTCGGATGGAAGCCCGACCGCGACCCAGCAGGTGGCGGAGCTCGGCGTGCGAGATCATCCAGCAGCAGAAGCAAGCAGTGCGGCATCTGGCGCCGAGGCAGACTCGAAGACTAAGACTGACCCTGCAGACGATAGAAGTCACATCATTGCCATTCCAAGGCCGCCCGAGTGGACTGTGCCTGGTTCTGGTAATGACGACGATAACGGGAATCCCAATGATAACGAGGATTCCGACGGCGACGAGGATTCCTACGACTCGTACACCAATGAATCAGATAGCGACGGGGAAGCGGAAGGGGCCGCTTCAGACCGCGCCGAGGGAAGCTCTCAGACACTTTCCGCCGAGCGTGGGGTTGCGCTGTCGTTCCCGCACCTGGAGCTCTACAACATTGGACTGCTCGAGCTCGTCAAGCTGTATCTGACCATCCAATGCACCCGATGCAAGGATACCATGGACGTCAACAACATCCAGAACAACGCTAACGCAGATGACACTGGTATTCGTAGAGAGTCCTGCAAGAAATGCGCGTACCCGATGAGCATAGGTAAATTTGTTTTGCGGGGGCGAGAAAAAGCCTTGCGGGTCATGGGACTAATGCTCGAAAAGGATACCGCATGGGTATGATGCATGCAAACTCTGTCCGGGCCGGCTACCTTGATCTCGAGGGATGCGCTCCCGTTGACATGCTCCCAAGGTGAGGAATTCCGGTCGGGCGCGACAGGGGAGACGATTGGCGCCGAGCCCCCTCAGCTAGAGAGTGCTTATTAGGGCTGGCGGTAGCGCGACTCGTATCCAGACTTTCCCATATCTCCCCAAACGGAGACGATGAAGGATGTTGATTGCTGACGGCGCCTTCATCAGCAACTTCATCCCGACGTGCGCTGAGTGCGCCATCCAATTCCCCAGCCCCGGGGTGGTGTCGGTCCGCGGCGACTCGTCGATGGCGACGTGCAGGGAGTGCCACAAGAAGATGGGTATGTAACGCGCTGAGACACGAAATTGGCGGCAGATTGGACGCAGGTGGTCGCGCGGTGATGGGCAGGGCTAACCCGCGGCGTGCAGTGTTCAAAATTGCAGAGGTTAAATTTCTGCTGATCAGCGCGTCGTCAGGTACGTGTTGGGTGCAGGTCGCGGGGGTGCTAGCGGCGGGTGGAGGGCCTCCCGGCGAGCCTACGCGCATCAGCATGCAGAGTGACTGATGTCGGTGTGACCACAGCACAAGGAACGCGCGCATTGCCGCGGAAGAAGGTTCGTCAGGCCGCGCGCGTCTTGACTACTATCGTTGACTATCGCTGACTATCGTTGACTGTTTTTCGCAGGCCAAGGAAAATCTCGGCATCGTGGCCGGGCAGGAGCTGCCCAAACAAGGGCGATGCAAGCATTACAGCAAGAGCAATCGGTGGTTCCGGTAGGCCGCAAGCCACAACGTCCAGTGCAGGGCTTAGCCCCGTCAGCCGGACACAGGCTGATCTTTGTTGGCAAACACCAGCTTCTCCTGCTGCGCCAAAGTGTACCCATGTGACAGGTACCGTCATTGCCCGCACCCACCGCGATCGCAAGATCTCCACAGATCGCGGGCCCCACCGCACGTACTGACAGCCGGATCGCAGATGCCACGACGCCGACGTCGAGCACACGAACAGCCACGCGAACAGGATGATTTGGTACGTTCCTTGGTGTCTCGCGCCCACCGGCCCTCTCCAGCTGGAGCGCGGCTCCCCAGACCCCTGCTCCGCGGTGACGTCGCGCCCACCGCTGCCCCGGGCCAAGCTTTCCCCGCACGCATCGCCTGTTGGGGTAGACGGGCGCGCTGTCTCGGTGCCCTGCCACCCTCGCGGCATTCTTCGCCCGAGCCATCTGCAGCCCTACAGCGCGCCGTCGATCATCTCGTTCCTCCCCAAATCTGTTGAACCCAGTGAGCGCCATTTGCTGACCATGCCTCTCTGGCCGCGTGTATAGTGGTTTTTGTAAGTCATTGTCGCCTCCGCCCGCCCAGCTGCGCCCCGGCCACACGGGGGACTAATGGCTCTTTTCTTCACCAATTTTGCAGGCTCGCGCGAGCAGAATTACCGGCCGGAAGACTGCGGCATATGCCACGCGACGCTCGTCGGCAAGAAAGGCTCGGGCTTCTGGGAAGGTGGAAAAGGTACGTTGAACGACCAGCCTGTGATTGTACGCTTGAGCACTCTTCCGTTCGCCCCGCGACCCCGTTCCCGTCCTGATCGCGTCCCGTTTCCCTGCCCGTCACGATGCACGACAAAGATTGCACTTTCACTACCCCCCCCGCCGCCGCCTCTTGCGGCGCAATGCCGTAAGCTGGCCGTTGACATTAGCGGCATCTCGATTCGTCCATGATGAATGAGGAGGCGGAAACTAAGGGCTTTCGGTGTCCTCATCCGCTTCCGTCACGCCGTTGTCAGAAGCCAAGGTCCACGGCTGGCGGGATTTGTCCTTTGTGTCGGCCGTCAGCACGCGCGTCTGCAGAGCCTGCAAAGCGCCTGCAAAGCGCCTACAAAGCGAAAGGACGCTCGCCGTGGCGCGTCTCGTCGGAGCACGTCTTCAGCTATCGACACAGGGGCAAGCCGCGCGGGCCAGGCCCTCTTCGTGGGCTGTCATGAGGACAGCCACAGACCGTTTGCAACACAGACGGTGGTTGTCGCGACTCGAGGGCGGCGCCTTCGCCATCTCGCCTCCGGCGGAGGCTTGCGACGGCATTGATGAAGGCTGGCGTCGCGCATGGACGCTACTCAGGCACGCATGGCATGAGCGCAATACAACCAAGGTTGCTCCAGCGCCGGCTGCGCTGTTTTACTCTGCCCCCAGCGCCAATGGCTTCGGCGCCTCCTCAGCCCTCGCTCAAAGGGCAGCCCCGCGCTCCTGGCCGAGGCAGGGCATCATGAGGCAGCTGACGACGGCTAGGCCGGGAATGACAGTTCTGCACGACGAATACGAAAGCGTCTGCGAAAGAAGGTTTTGTGGCAGGCCCATGGTGCAGGCCTCCCACGTGCGCTGCGCGCCCCGCCCCCCTCGCTGCCCCACCTTTCGGTCTGTGGTTCGGCATTCTCCCCCAGGTTCTTGGAGCGCTCGGAAATCTGGGGTTGGCGCTTCCTTGTCGATTCACCCTCCTGTACCAAAGAAGCCGCCCTCTCCTATTCCTGGGCACCCTCCAGCGGGACAGGGATCCGCGCTCAAGGTGCGACGCGTCGCCGGATTACGGATTCCCCCCTGCTTGGCGGGCGACGCTGGACCGTTTGGCCGCCATCCTCATGATTGCGCTCGGATCTGGGGAAGAGCTGGCCTTTCCGCACACCACGGGACTGCACGCCTTGCAAGCCTCGCAAGCCCTCCAGGCGCACTTCGGTCATGCACAAAGCCTGCGGAGGGGCCCCGACGCCTGAAGGGCCGAGCCTGCTGGGTAATCCCGTAGCTAGCTAGCGACTCGAGTGGTTTGAACTGCTGGCCCAGGACGGACTCATCATTCGATACGCGTGGGCGCCTCGCCCGTTCGGCGTCGTTCCGCGCGCGGCTGTGTCGCGCGGGCTGGATGCAGGCTTTGTTGGTTCGCAGTGTTCCTTAGCCTTCCCGCGGCTCCGCCGGCGGCGCTTCTCTTGTTGATGCACGCTGAGAGAAGTCGACCGCAGCTAGCCGACTTGTTCTTTGCCCTTCAGTCGGCCCACCAGACGCGCGCTACTCTGCAAGCTTCCGCTGTGTTCCTTTTGGACGCTCGCTCCTCCTGATGCTGCAGGTGCTGCAGCGGGAGTAAAGAGTAGCGCGGCCGCGGCGAATCCCTCTGTCTCTCCGTTTCAAGGCCAGGCCGTGTGACACACGGACTTAGTCGTACCTAACCTCTCCCTTCCTCGCACCCGGTCTTGGCCACCACCAGTGGAGAGCACGGAGAGACGGAGATTTGTCGCAGAAATTATCAGAGCACGAACGCTCCGCCACGCCGACGCTATTGCCCAGACAATTTGCACACGATGACACCCCATCCGCGCGCGTCATATGCATTTTGGCTTTGTCGACGGACTTTGTTTTGGAATTTGTTGCTGACGCAGACGGATTGTTGGGTTGGGAATGCAGGTACGCGTGACCGCACTCGCATGTCGAGGAAAGGTACGTTTTTTTTCTTTCATCTTTTTCTTTTTACTTTTGGCCACCGTCGGTACATGCGACGGGTTCCAGTTTTGTTCGCCGTCGTCGATGCTTTTCTGCGGGTTTGTTTTAGCGCGACTGCTTTTCTGCTCGAAGTGGTGGTGTGAGGGTTCCCGCGTGCGTTCGCTCGCATTATTCCTCCGACTTTCGTTACCCTTGCTCCTCCCGTCCTCCCCTCTCTTCCCACACACACACTGACCCCGCCTCACTACTGTGGCGTCTCGTCGGTTTGTTTCAGCCTCCGTTCTTGGTCCCGCCAGCCAAAGACGAGCCGCTGTTTGAGAAGTGCGCTCGCCTCGGGAAGCCGCATACCACTTGTCGTTTTTTCCCTCCTTTACATTTTTCCACCCAATCATCGTCGTTGCTTTGCACGTTATTTTTTCTATTTTTCCTTTTTGCTCGTCGCGTGGCCCCTTCCTGCCGGGCCGCTGTGCCGCACACGCAGGCAGCCCTGGCACACCATACACACACACACCTTATCCCATCATCCCACGGACGATACAGACCAACCAACAACACCAACGCAACACGCACGACACATAGCCTTTCCTTTATCACGCCGATCTCCCTCCACTTTCCATCCGGCGGATTACTCTCCGTCTCACGCACTCTCTTTTTTTTTTTTCTTGTTTTTTTTATCAACGCCGCCTATCTGTCTGTATGTCTGTCTGCTTGCTTTATGTTTCTCCGCACGCCCGGCGCCTTTTTTTCCCACCGCATTATTACCCGATTCGGCACGGGTGGTGCGGTGGGGGGTCAGGTCGTGCGTCGTGTGTGCTTTGATACTCTCTCGGTTGTTTCGGCCTTCTTTCCTCCCTTCTCTCTCTCTCTCGCTCTCTCTCTCGCTCTTTCTCTCTTTCTCCGGCCGGCAAACGTGGAGAAACCGCTACTCGCTTTTGCCGGGAGGGCACGGGGAATATGATGCAGGGGGGTGTAGTAGGTGTGCGACTGGAGGCACGTGCTGGGCAAAAAGCTTGATTGTGTGTGTGTGTGTGTGTTGGTTGTCTGTGTCCGTGCCTGACAGTCGGGTAGCGGTGGTGGTGGTGGTGGTGGTGTTGTGGGCAGCGTGTGTGCTATGCGCCTCTCTGTCTGTGTGTGTGTGCGTGCGTGCGTGCATCATGCAGAGAGAAAGGGGGAGGAGGGCAAGGAAACGTTTTCCACGCGATTATTTTCTCTCGATTTTTTTTTCTTTCTTGGTTTTTTGTTTTCGCTTGGGGCACGGTTTCATGTTTTTTTTCTGCCGACTACGACACATGATGCTAATGTTACGATGTGCCACCAGACCCGAGGAAGTACAAACGCATGCCTGGTACCGCCCCGCGAAGCGGCGGCAACAAGGACAAGAAATAGGATATATACCTCCCGACTACGACTGCGGCTACGATGAGATAGATCATTGGGTTTTGATCGATCGGGGAGTAGGTAAGTAGCAGACAGAGTGCACGCGCGCGTGGTGTTGAGGGAAGGGAAGGTGATGGTAGTACGTCTACATCATGAACGTTCGCTTTTCGGTTGATTTGTTATTGTTGTTGTTGTTGTTATTGTTTCTCTCTTTCATTTCATATTATTCTAGGTACGTAGGTAGGTGGGCAGTCCGCAAAAGGCGAATGGGTATGACTTTGGTCCAAGCGGACTTTTCGTTTCCTTCTACGCCTTCTCTCTCGCTTCGATCGATGGATACCTACTGCAATCCGCCACGCGTCATTATTGATCGATGTGCTACAAGCATTTTGGAACAAGTAGGTGGATGAGCCGCTGGGAGCGCGCGCGCGCGACGCGTGGGTGCTTTGCGTCGCACACCGTATCTATTTCGAGGCGATGGGGCCGTTGGGTTGGGTTGGGTTGGGCTGGGATAGGGCTGGGGCTGGGGCTGGGGCTGGGCTCGATCGGTTCTTTCGATTCGCGCAACAACACGCGTTTGTTGTTGTTGTTGTTGTCGTTGTTGTCGCCGTCGGGCAGTAAGGAAAAAGGAGAAGAAAGGCATCGAAGGGGAGGTTGGGGGGACGTTCGATAGTCGCAGATCATTTTCAGTGGGATGTTTCCATGTGTGTATGCGTGTGTGTTGTTGTTGCTGTGTGCCTTGTTTTTTTCCTTCTTTCCTTCCTTCTAGTCGCGTTCTGGACGCTCGGGACGCGTTCTAGATTGAGGACTGTGGATATCTTTCTTTGGGTTTTGGGTGGGGATTGTGGTGTGGTGGAGTACGTACGGGACTACAATTTTATTTTTATTTTTTTTGAGTGGAGTTTGGGCCATCCGACGTTTCGGGTCGGCGACCGTGTGTGTGTGCCCGTGTGCGTGTGTTTTAAGGTACTTTCCGTAGGGCTGCTGCTGCTGCTGCTGCTGCTGCTGCTGCTGCTGCTGCGACGCACTGCTGCTGTTGTGGTGCTGGGTGGTGGCCCGCGCGGTGGGTGGTGGTGAGGGTGGTTGGTGGTGCGTGTTGTCCTTTCGTCTCCTCCGTTGCCCTTGGGGTGGTTGGTGCACCACGTGTGTGGTGCTTGCGTTACAGCTTTCG